TGTAGGGAATGGACTAGAGACAATGGCTGAAAGTGGAACAACAAATATCCTCATGGGAGGAAAAAAGGGAAATATTTTCATAACAAGAATGGTTAAACATTGGAAAAAAACGTGCCCAGAAGGGTTGCAGAATGTTGCTTTGAATTCAGCGCCACTTTAAGGAGGAGGTTGAGCTAGATGACCTCTAGACATCCTTTCTAACCAAACTATTCTATGATTTGAGAATTGGAGCCTTGACTTACAGTCTAAAAATACTCACAGAATTTTAGCAAGTTGAGGGTTGTTTTTTTTTTTTTTCCTTCTTGTTTGCTTTTAGAAACTTTATTTTAAGGACACGTAAACTCTGTTTTTACTTTTAATCTGCTGCTTGTGTGATTAAAAATTTACCCATTTAGCTGTGACAGGATTTGACACCTCAGTGCCCAAATAAATTTTTTGAAGGCAACAGGCTGCTGTGTTGATAAAGTTTTTAAGTATTTATAATAGTATCCTGTCACAAGTTTTTCCTCTTCTTCAGATACAATGTTTGTGTCTTTTAAGAAAAATATAGCTGCTTTAAAATGTGATGATCATAATGGGCAGTCTCATAACAAAATTGTTAGCACATAGCGATATGTTGATATTTGTAAATTTTTTTCCTTTATGACTTGCAGTTCTCTTTTCTGCAATGACTGTGGAGTGTCTATATTTAGAGGTAATGTTTTCTGACACCGGTTCTCTAACAGCAAAAATTCAAGGCATGAAAAATGCAGTTCCCAAGAATGATAAAAAGAGACGAAAACAGCTGGCTGATGAAGTTGCCAAACTAGAGGCAGAACTTGAACAGAAGCACAAGGAGGAATTAAAGCAGCTGAAGGAAGCTTCACCTGAGCAGAGTAAGGTAGGTACCTTAACTAGAGTTTAAGTTGTACAGATACAATTTGTGTTAGCGCTTCTTTAGCTTTTAAAAATTATAATGAAGTAACACTTTAAAGTATTTATCCTTTCCCCGTGCAGTATTAGTAACTCTTTTCATCTTTGGAAAGATTCAGCTGTAACAGTGACTGGGCATTGCTAGAAGGGGTGTTTAACAGTGGGGGGTTTTGTTGTTGTTGTTGAGCAGTATTTGGTTTTGCTCTTAAGGCTACATTAGTAGCTCAGTCATTTAATTATTTTTTTTTCCTGTTATATTGTCACTCCACTTATCTTATGTAGACTACTAAAGTATTGTTGGCCTTCAGCAGGCATTTGACTGATGCAGTGTGTTTTGTCTTGCAATTCTGTCAACAGTGTAACTGACCTTTTTGTAAGAAGACACTTTCTGTGATAATAATTGTCTCCTTAAATGCTGCTATTCTGCCGTGTTGGCAACATAGCTATGTACTTAAATGCTTCCAGTTTGGTGTTTGATAGCAAACTACTTCATTTTTAACAGATGCTTAGTGTTATTCAAATTTAGCTGCAAGAAATAAGACCACCTGAGTAAACTAGATACTACTAGATATTTATGTGACATACAAAAATTCACCTATGTTTTAGCACTTAATTAATAAGTAAAGTGTTGGAAACTCCTGTCGTAGTGCAATCTATAGACTTAATTCTTTATATCCAGTACTGAAAAGAACTCGATTTGTATCATGTGCCTGAATACAAGGACCGTTGCTGCAAGTAGGCTTGTGGCTACATTGGTGCAATACCAGTCTATGAATGATACTAATGCTCCATGCTCATACATCTCCTTAAGTGTTTCAGTGTTTGTCTTTTTGCTGTTTAAATCCTGTAAAGAAACAAACAAAAACATGTTTGCCTGCTGCCTTCTGGACTAGGTGTTTTCTGGTTAGCAGTCTAACAGAGAGTTAAGCAGAATGCACTTTTATTTGAAAATGAGAGTGAAAACATTTTTGAATGACTGTTAGGGAAATTGACTTGATTGAGAAGCATCTGCTGAGAATCCTTGAGAAAAAAAAGTTTTCAATTGTGAGAGTTATGACAGTAACAATCTTCTGTAGTAGTTTTAATCAGATGCTTAAGCAGTTTAATGCATAAGCATTAAACATAACGTAAGTTTGCAGATGACACTAAATTGGGTGGGAATGTTGATCTGCTCGAGGGTAGGAAGGCTCTGCAGAGGGACTTGGACAGACTGGATCGATGGGCTGAGGCCATTTGCATGAGGTTCAACAAGGCCAAGTGCCGGGTCCTGCACTTGGGTCACAACAACCCCATGCAGCGCTACAGGCTTGGGGAGGAGTGGCTGGAAAGCTGCCCGGCAGAAAAGGACCTGGGGGTGCTGGTCGACAGCCAGCTGAAGATGAGCCATCAGTGTGCCCAGATGGCCAAGAAGGCCAACAGCATCCTGGCCTGTATTAGAAATAGCGTGGCCAGCAGGAGTAGGGAAGTGATCATGCCCCTGTACTCGGCACTGGTGAGGCTGCATCTCAAATCCTGTGTGCAGTTTTGGGCCCCTCACTACAAGGCAGACCTTGAGGTGCTGGAGTGTGTCCAGAGAAGGGCAACGAAGCTGGTGAAGGGTCTAGAGCACAAGTGTTATGAGGAGAAGCTGAGGGAACTGGGGTTGTTTAGTCTGGAGAAGGCTGAGGGGAGACCTTATCACTCTCTACAGCTACCTGAAAGGAGGTTGTAGTGACGCAGATGTCTCTTCTCCCAAGTATCAAGTGATAGGACAAGAGGAAGTGGCCTCAAGCTGTGCCAGGGGAGATTTAGATTGGGTATTAGGAAAAATTTCTTTACTGAAAGAGTGGTTAGGCATTGGAACAGGCTGCCCCAGTGAAGGGGGGGAGGTGTTCAAAAGACGTATAGATGTGGTGCTTAGGGACATGGTTTAGTGGTGGGCTTGGCAGCGTTATCTTAATGGTTGGACCTGATGATCTTAAAGGTCTTTTCCAACCAAAATGATACTATGATTCTGTGATTTTGTTCTGAGATGTATGGTTTCTTTCACTTCTCAACATTTTTATTTGGATTGAAACATATCTGTCCTTCCAAGGGTGACATCTAGTTCATACCATTACAGCGGTAGCTTTGTCATTTTTCTTGAGAAGTGTCAACTTTCCAGCTGGTGGTTATGCTTTGGTATGGAAGGTGGAGCCTTCTGCTGCTTTAATTGTCACGTAGTTTGATAATGGCTGTTTGGATACTGTGGTCAGCTGCTATGGTGAGGAAAACTTTCCCTTTCAGCCGGTAAGCAATGTTCACACTTCAGCATGGAAGCTTGTAAGAGAACACACAGATTAAATTTGAGATGCGCAATTCAAAACTGTCTCTGAGACTACAGAAAAAGTCATAAAATGCGTGACATGGTTTGGTACGTGACATGCTTTTACTTTTGACAGGCTCTGTGCTATATGCAGATCTTTGTGGTTAAACTTCATAAATACACCCTGCAATTGCCTAGGAACAGAAAACTGTTTCAAGAGGTGCACATCTAAGTTATCATTTATACTAAGAACAACATTTAACAATTTTTTTTTTCTATTTAGGCAGATTCTATAGCTGATGGGGTTGCAAATTTAGAGCTTGAAGGAGTAGAGCAACAGATTCAGCATCCTCGAATAACAAAAGCACAGAAGAGGCGGGTATGACAACATTTATAATTTTACAAATATTTGATTGAAGTTATGTTCACTTAAACTTAACTGTAATAACCAAAGTTAAACAATTTGCGGGGGACGTTACCTGGCTAATTCAGTATTGATGCTGTACCTACTGGGTGCCTTGAAAATCTGTAAAGCTGCTACCTAGAGATGTGTAAGTATTTTGTAAATAGTTGTAGTTTTTTACCCTCAGCCATGAGCTGGGAATCAGAATAGGTCAGCGAGATGGAAGCCAGAAAAAAACAAATGATGTAAAGCAAACTATTTTAAAAGATTGTTACTAAAAACATTAATAAAGAAGTAAAGTAATTGAATGAAACAATGTATAATACTACATGGAAAATATGCAAGTAGCAGAACTTCAGACATTTAACAAAAGAACATCAGTACTGAAATTCTTGTAAATATTTGAGTTGTTAAGAAACACAACCTGGTGTCCAGGCCATTAGGGTTAAATCTTGTTAAGCTTCAGGTGTTAAATAGCAATGGATTAACATTCTCATTGTACCTGAATGAATGTTTTCTGGTTAGCGATCTAGCAAAGAGTTAAGCAGAATGCATTTTTGTTTGTGCAGAGTCCATCCCCTGATACATGATCACTGCTGCAGAGCTGCCTTGTTACAAACACGATGAAAGGATGTTCTTAATTCGTCGCACCAAGCCTAGGCAAACTAGAAACTCTGTAGTCTAGATTTCCTATATTTTGGTCGCCTAAACCAATCTGATCTTGATTTGTGGCAGATTTTAAGTGTGAAAGTGAGAAGATCATTCTCTGTACTGCTTCTTTTTTTATTTGCTCATTTACTTTGACTCTTATTACCTTGTTAACTTAAGCATAAACTTATGAAGCATTCTATAGAAGTAATTTTTATGTTATGTATTATTACATCCCCTCTAGTATTCTCTGTGTGCGTTCTCACCTGTCCTTTAGGTTAGGAGCAGTCTTTTATGATGTATAGTACCTAGCCTGAGGGAGTTTGAGTTTCATGACATGAGCGCTGTTGTGCAGTTGTATGCGTAACTGGTAGTTCTCACTTATTATGAAAGAGCAATGTTTTCTATTGTTTAATTAGATTTCTCATACTTGAGTTGTTTGCCAATGCGGTGAAATAGGTGATCCTGAAGAAATTACTACTATTAATAGCCTTTCTACGGGCATTGTAAAGTGTTATTTTGCATGTTGTTATGATTAAGGTTTCTCCTGCCCCATGATTTTGGGTGTGGTGTCAGAGGAGGTTAGGATATATTGGACACTTACTATTTGTTCAAGTTTGGATTTAGGAGGCCTCTAAGATTCGGTAGCAGTGATTTGGGAGAACATTTTGCAGATACGAATGTACTGAGAAAACATTTGAAGAGTTAGAAGCAAGCACAAAGCCAAGAACTGCATCTTCTAAATTTTAACATTTGCTGTAATTTTTATGTGTTTTTAATCTAAGGAAAAAAAAGCTGCCTTGGAGAAAGAGAGAGAAGAAAGGATAGCTGAAGCTGAGATAGAAAATTTAACAGGTGCTAGACATCTTGAAAGTCAGAAACTTGCCTCCCTATTGGCAGCAAGGAGCTTAGAGATTAAACAGATCCCTTCAGATGGCCATTGCATGTACAGAGCTATTGAAGATCAGCTCAAGGATCGCCAGAATTCCTGGACTGTTGCAACTCTGAGGAACCAGACAGCAAAGTATATGCAAAGTCACTTTGATGACTTCCTGCCATTTCTTACAAACCCTAGTACTGGAGAGATGTATAGCAGAGGTAAGACTTGTGGCATAAGAGATTTTAAAAACTGTTATAACTATTTCTGATAATTCTCAATCTTAGTTACAGCTGAATTGGGACTAACCCGTTATGGTGTTTATTCCTGAACTTTGTTACTTTGTTGGTTTGGCTGTGTTCTGTGGAACACCAAATTATCATTGCTATGAAACTTGGTACACCTGCATCTTTGTAATTTATCTTTTTTTTTTTTTTTTAAAGTAATCTAGCGAACATTGTTCCCCATTTAAAAAAAAAAAACATTCAGAACTTGCTGGTTACTAGATAGTAATCATGTTCTGGGATGTTGTATTATAAACAGCTTGTCTACCAAGTTAGGGATGATTTTTTGTGAACTTTTATATTGATGTTTTCGATTCACATAGGAAAGCTGTTAAAAATGAGTGTGAAATTCAAGCAAATCTTTTTTAAAGTAGTTTACATAGATTTTTTTTTTTTTTCTTATTCTAGCCTTTATTTTCACTATTTACACTTGTCTTGGTTTGAAAGACAGGTGTCT